AAGAAGAAGAAGAAGAAGAAGAAGAAGAAGAAGAAGAAGAAGAAGAAGAAGAATATGATGAAGATGAAGATGAAGAAGAAGAAAAAGAGAAGAAAAAGAAGAAGTCTGAGAAAATATTTATTTTCAATAACCTGTTGAACTTTATAAAAAAATATTTGAGACATTTCTGTTTTGAATGTTCCAAATTGTACTGAGTGGGTGGTTGGCAGGTGGTCTGAAGTGGTTTGTTCCTTTTTTCTCATCAATCATCTATTGTCGTTCCTTCTTGCCCTTCTTTCCTTTGCATGTTTCTATCTAATAAATCCTCTACTTTTTTACACTTATACGATCTACTAGTGGTGTGAGTGCCGCAAAACTATTACTAACTCTAAAAACAAAGAAACAGCTAAAGATTGTACTGTTTGTTTTTCTATGTATTCCTCTCGGGTCAAGAGCGGGTCGTAGGAAGCTGCCGCTGGTTGGTCCTACTTCTTTAACCTTCCTCTGTCGTTTTGTGTCTTTTTTGTGTAAAACGCGAGACACACCAAACATTTTCAATTGGTTGGGAATTTAGAATTTTGCCCGGATGGCGGCTGAAGCCTACTCTTATCGATTTTGGGCGACCAAGGGATCTTTAACATGTACAACTAGCACAACGGACCTTCGAGAATTTTCGCCTTTGTCCGAGAAGGCTTGGTGTAGATCTTTCCTACCAGAAGATCAGGGGTGTGGCTGAAAGACAGCAGTAAGAAGGAGCCAAGAAGTAGCAGCAGAAAGGCTGCAGGAAGAGTCAGGAGCCCAGAGGAGGGGGCAAAGAGGTGAGGGGGTGGGGGCAGAAAGAGGAGACGAAAGCAAACGACAGAACATTGCTAGAGAGCAGGAAAGAAGGTAAAAGGAGACAATTTTAGGGAAGAAAATATTTCGGTCGCTACCCGGATTCGAACTCGGGACCTTTGAATGAGAGGCCAACACCTTAGCCTCTAAGGCCACGAGAGCGCCATGTATGTGTCTGTATGTCTTACTTTTTCTCAGCATTAAATAACAGTTAAATGTGTTGTTGTTTCCTCAAACTGAGGTCAAGAGCGAGTGGTTGGAGGGTGCCGCTGGTAGGTCCTACTTCTTCACTTCATTTCTACCCCGTTATTGTTTCTGTCCTTCTCGCTTTTCCCAGTACTAAATAACCATTAATATTATGACAATGTACTTTTCATTCCTCAAACTGAGGCCAAGAGTGAGTAGTTGGAGGGTGCTGCTGGTAGGTCCTACTTCTTTATTTCTTTATTATCCTTCTGTTGTTGATTTTTTTCCTCCTTTTCCCAGTGCTAACTATAACCATTGATATGTCGATGTACTTTTCTTTCCCCAAACTCAGGTCAGGAGATGCGCTGTAGTAAGGAAGGGGAGAGAGTGGAGGTGGCTTTGGTAGATTCAGACCCGTGTTATTCCTGTTTTTGTAGGGTGAGTAGTCTGTGTGTGTCTATGTGTGTCTATGTGTTTGTATGTTCGTTTGTGTTTGTCTGTATGTATGTGTGTGTATGTGTGTAGATGTGTGTGTGTCTGTGTGTGTGGTTGTGTGTGTGTGTGTGTGTGTGTGTGTGTGTGTGTCTGTGTGTGTGTCTGTATGTATGTGTATGAGTATGTTCATTTGTGTATTTGTGT